TAGGGGGAAGGCCCTGGTTCAATCTCCCAATACTGAAAAAAATTCATCTTTACTCAGACTAGTAATTCAAGTGGCATTTGACAGGTGTCTGAAAATTATTGTTTGCTTCAGAAGTTAGGAAACCCTGCTGTGCCCTGGGGCTTCCCTAGGGAACGCTTTGGGGGCATCAGTGGCAACGGCTGGGGAGTCTGTCCACCTCTCTGCACACCCGCAGTTGGGATTGTTCCCCTCAAATCTCCCAGTTCTCTGGGGGGTTGGGAGAGTTGGTACAGTGATGGTGAAACCCTGCTAACTCCTGCAGGAGTTAGCCAGAAGGGGCTGTTACTAAGGACTCATGCTACTTTTGTTTTTGTTTTGAGACAGTGTCTCACTCAGAGATTGCGGCTATTCTTAAACTCACTATGTAGCCCAGGCTTGCCTGGAACTCTCCAGCAGGCCCCACAGTCCAAGTACTGGGCATAGGGGATTACAGGTGTGGGCCAGCGTGCCCGGCCCTCCCACCGTCATCTCATGTGCTTATTTCCCGTTTAATTCTGACTTGGGTAGGGTGGAGCACACCTGCTGAGGCAAGAGCCCTAGGCCAGCCTGGGCTACATAGTAAGTTCAAGGCCAGCCTAAACTACACAGCAAGGGCTGGCGAGATGGCTCAGTGGTCTAAAGCACCTACTTAGAACAAGCTTAGCAAAGCACAGGGACCGCGGTTCAATCCCCCAGCGCTATATGCCAGCCAGCCCCGCCCCCTGGTGGGCTGAGCTGGCCACACACACACCCATACAAATAAATAAATAAATAAATAAATAAATAAATAAATAAACAAACAAACTACACAGCAAGACCCTGTCTCAAATAAGTTTTTCCCTGGTAGAGTTTTCCTTTGAGATTTAGAAACATGTATTGCGCTGTCACAGTGCTGTTGCCCAGGCAGGAGCCCGTGACAGGAGCGCCTTGCTGTGAGCGAAGGAGGGGAGTGATCCCAGGAGCAGCAGCTCTGCTCTGCGTGGCTGCACATCCTGAGGGTTTGGTGCCCCGCCCCGAACTTGCCCTGTCTCTCCCAGTTGTCTCTGGCTTCGTTCTGCACTTAAACACGGTGGTATCTGTCACATTGCAGGAGCGACATCCAGGAGACAGCAAAAACTACAATGAATGTATCCGGCATGAGACCATTAGAGTTGCGGTCTGTGACATGATGGAAGGGAAGTGTCCCTGCCCCGAGCCCCTGCGGTGAGTGTCAGGAGGCCCCTGGCTTCATGTTGCCTTGGCAGTGGGGTGCTGGGAAGCTGGAAAGGAGGAAGGTGTGGCTCATGCCAAGAGAGAGCTGACTGTGGGCTTCCCGGAGGAAGATCCTGCAGACTAGGTGCAAGGTGAGCCATCGGAGGAGCGGGTTGGGTAGATGCAGGAGCAGACAGCTTGAGCACACCAGCAGTGGAAGTTGCACCAATCAGATGGCACTCCTCTCTGGTCACTCACAAGACGGCAGGTGTTTCTCCCATCCTTTTTTGTTTTGTTTTGTTTTTTTGCGGTACCAGGGATTGAACTCAGGACCTTGTGTTTGCCAGGCAAGTGCTTATTCTACTGAGCTATCTTCCCCAGTCCTCCCCTGTTCCTTTTCCACTGCAAGCTCTGTGGACAAGTGTATCTGGGCTTGGGCAGTGGCTATTAAACCTAGCACTGGGCTCAGGTGAAGGGGGCCTGTGTCCGGTCATCGACTACTTGCCTGCTCTCCAGGGGCGTGATGGAGAAGTCTTTCCTAGAGTACTACGACTTCTATGAGGTGGCCTGCAAGGATCGCCTGCACCTCCAGGGCCAGACCATGCAGGTAATGTGGCTGCTGCCCCCCTGTGGACCATATGACCCCAGGCACTCATGCCCTAGGCAGAGCACAGCCTGGGAACCCGGGTCATTGCTGGCACCATTGCAGTGCGGGGGGAGACCATATCGCTTAGGGTCATGAGGCTTCAGTTCCCAGCTCTTGGCATACAGTGGGTCCTGGAGTGCAGGCTGAGGCGTCTGCTTTCTAGGCGAAGTTTGTCAGGGGTTCCTTCTTTTCTTGGCCAGGGGTTTTCCTAACCCCGAGACATCCAGCTCCATGGAAAGCTTAGGGGAAGTGGGCTGTCGTTGGGTCCATCTGGGCCCTATAGAGGCTCAGAGAGGCGGCCTGGAGTTCTGTACCAGGAGGGCAGCCCACATCCCTCAGTGTCCCACTGGGAAGCATTCTTGCCCTGCTCACAAAGGGGCTCCTCTCCCCCAAGTAGCCCGTCAGGCAGCTGCGTCTCCCTGTAGGGCACCATCCACTGGAACCAGTGGGGAGGGTGGGGGCACCGCCCTGGGTTCTGTCCTGCCTGGAGGGAGGAGACTCACCCAGCCACACCCTGCTGACGCCCTGCACCCTCCCCACCCACAGTCAGCTCTTCCGCTGCAGGGCCCTGAGAGCCTTCGCTTGGGTACTTGGTTCTCAGCCCTGGAGATGGATCCTGGGCCTCGAGCCACAGGTGCTGCTCAGCATCTGATGCAGGACAAGGCTGGGGCCCGGAGCACTGCCCAGAAAGTTGGACAGGAGCAGGACTGGTCCCTGGGGAGGTCTGGACTCAGGTCTTCCTGCAGCCCAAGGAAACCAGTGCCTTTTTGGGTCCCAGCTGAAGGACAGCTGTCCTGTCATGGCTCTACAGAGGGTGACACCTACACCTAGTGAATATCCCTGAGCCTTTCTGTACGCTGGTGTGCTTTTAGGGAGTGCAGCTGTGTCTTAGTGTCACCAGGCTCTGGGCTGTGGGACTGTTGTGCCGTGTGCTGTCTTCCCATGCAAGGGGGTGGGCACCAGATGGGCTACCCCAGGCTCCAGTCGTCACGCGCTCTTGTTCCCTCCCAGGACCCTTTTGGAGAGAAACGGGGCCACTTTGACTACCAGTCTCTCCTCATCCGCCTGGGCCTCATCCGCCAGAAAGTGCTGGAGCGGCTGCACAACGAGAATGCTGAGATGGACTCTGACAGCAGCTCCTCAGGCACAGAGACTGACCTGCACGGGAGCCTGAGGGTGTAGACCCCGTCCGCCCGCCCTGCCCACCGGAGCCATCCCAGGATCTCAGGGTGTGGGCGGGCAGCTCCCCTCTGACCTTGGCGCCCAAGCCTTGGGGCCGAGTCCCCCATCAGGGCCCAGGTACCTTCGAGGGAGCCCCAGGGCCAGGGCCCCAACAGAACCCACCGCCGACATCTCCATGCCTCTCCTAGGCAACTCCTTGGGGAGGGAAGAATTCGCTTCGAGTGTGCACAGGGGGCCCCAGGTGGGTGCCTGGCAGTTAGCAGTCTGGGTGGTTGTCTGTCAGTCAGTCTCCAAGCCGGCTCCCAATGCCCTCTCTCTGCCTTTCCTTCCTGTTACTTCCCAGCCCGCATAACATCCTTTTCCCTAATTTATAGTCACTGTTCTAGACAGACCAAAGAGCAGGAACAGTGGCGGAGCCCAGGCTGCTGAGGTTGAGCTTTACCAAGCACCACGCACCTTTCCTCCTCCCCTCCCCTCCCCATCCCACCACACTCTGGGTTCAGGTAGGAGAAAGGACTCCCCAAAACTGTCCCCAGTCTTTGATCATAGGCTAGGGGCACTGGAGCCCCATACAGAATAACCCTTGCAAGTGTCCCTGATGGTGAGGGCCTCCCTTGGGGTGGGGTGGGCAAGAGCAGTCTTTAGCACATTTTGTTTGGTTCCCATCTTTTTATCCCAGTGATTTGTGGGGAGCAGGGTCTCCAGTGTTGGGAGGGGCCAGGACACCACCCCTCACCCCCCCATCCCACCTCCGCTGCTGTCAAGGCCTCAGCACAGTGCCCTGGAGCTGCTTGGTAGAGAGGGAGTTTAGGTGCCCAGTGGTGTGGACACTGCTGATGGACGCCTTCCTGTTGGTGCATTTGCGGTTAAGTTGTTACAGCCCTGAGGCCACCACCTGGTGACATGGGGAGGACAGCGCGCACCTGTCCTCCTGCTGCTACAAAGTTTCTGCCCTGTGGATCCTGGGCTCCCAGGGGACCAAGGGCTGGGGACACGAGGACATCCCACTCAGGGCTGGGAGCCTGGACTGGATGGCAGCTTGCCTAGGTGGACTTGGAGGGGTGCTGCTTCCGACTTCCCTTGGTCCCCAGAGCTAGTTGGGCTGGAGTGCCCTGGGTCTGGGTCAGTCCGGTGTTGTCTTGTTCATCTAAGTGTCCCCACATTGAAGTGACAATCTTCTCCTTGGCCCGCCACGGGGCAGAGCCGTCTGGCATAGCAGCCTGACTTTTACGCCCTAATCTTGAGTTAAGGAAATATATGCACAGGAGTCAGAGATGTCTTTATATCCAACTGTACATAAATGAAGTTTTTTTTTTTTTCCCCCTTTTTGGTGCAATAAAGTTTGTTTTGGCAGAAGGAGGAAGCGCCTGTGGGTGTGGGGGTATAAGGGAGATGGGGTTCCTGAGCCTGCACCCCACCCATTTGGATGTGGAAAAGGGGTTGGGAGGCTGCATGGTGCCAGGCTGTCTGCTGTGTAGAGGTAGGGGGGCCCTGGCCATCAGCCAAAGGGTCACCACCACAGCCTTGGCTCCCGAAGATGCCCTCCAGAACCCAGGGGACAACTGACATTCAGGTGTGAGGACTCCCAACCAAGAGGACAAGGCCTTGCGGTGTGGAAGGAGGTCAGAGCTCAAGACTCCATGTCCTTCCAAGATCTCTGAGAGGATGGTGGGCACCCTCCCCTGAACACCATTGCTTCCTCTGGGCTGTCCCCCCAAAAGGCCAGGTTGGTCCTGGCAACTTCCAGAGGACTCTATGACCCCTGCTCCCTGACAGCTGACTGAGAAGGGCGTGGAGCAGGTGGGGCTGGGGCCTCTGTTCGGAGCCCCTCGGACTATGCCTGGCCTTCGGACGCGGTGCACATTGCCACTCAGGTTTTTCCGACTAGATCAGCCAGACTGCCTCCAAAAAAGATGTTGCGTGAGGGTACTTTTAAAAAATAAATGGGAGAAGAAAAAAAAAAAAAACTTGAACCTTTTATTTTCTATTCAGACAACTGCCAGGCGCTCGGCCCCGGCAGGACCTGGGCTGAGTTAGGGTAGGGCCTCGCGGGCCTCCTCGGCTGTGATCTCCTGCGAGTACAGGTCGGTGAACAGTGCAGGCAGCCAGTAGTGTGCCTCACCAGCCGCCTGCAGGTCCAGCCAGGCCAGCCCCTCCTTGAGCAGGTGCTCCTGGGGGAAGACAGCCAGGTGGGTGGCCTGTGACCCCACCCATGGTGGCAGCACAGAGGGCAGGGGAAGAAAAGGCGTCTGCTGCGAGGTTGCCGAGTTCTCTCAGGAAGCAGCCCTGGGTGTGGCCTCAAGAGGGGCAGTGCGTGAGGGCCAGGCACGGTAGTGACACTTGCTGCCAGAGGCTGCCCGTGTGGGCCAAACCCACCGCCACCCCAGGCCGGGGCCACCACCTACCAGCACCTGGCGGGCACGCTCTGTCTCCCACTTGAGGCTGGCCTGGATCTCACTGACTGTCACATAACCATTTTTCTGAAGGAAGAGTAGAGGCCGAGTCAGCCGGTACCCAGCACCGCCTGGGAGCAAAACCCATGGGAAGAGACCCCCTTGGAGCACAGGGGACCTGGTATTAGGCTGTGTTCTAAGAAGCCATCAGAGGCCCTGCCTACCCCAGGAAACCCCACTAGCTGGCTGCCCCCAGCCAGAGCCAGGCCCTACCTCTGCCAACTGCAGCACCACCGTGTGGTCCATGTTGAGCTCAGCGGGCACAGACTGGATGAGGTAGGTGCCACCCACCGGGATGATGCCAAAGCCTGTGCCCAGCGCCTTGAGTTTCTTGATGGCCCTGATCAAGTCGTCTCTGTGGAAGGAAGAGCAGTGTGAGGGTGAGCCAACCCAATGGCAGCGAGGACACTGCCTCCACTCTGCTCCAGCCACCCGGAGACGGGACCTGGCCAGTACCCCAGTGGCACTCGGCCTATTCTCAGCAAAACAGGCAGCTGCGGCTCAGCACCGGGCCCCTGTGCGGCATGGGACACAGCCTGGACCTGACCCAGCGCCATCCAGAAGGAAGCACCAGCCAGCACTTGCCTGGCTGAGGGGACAGCAAAGTGATGCAACCCAGGGCCTCCTGCTTAGCTGCGGCCTCCCTAGCTCTTCTTACATTTTAAATTCTGATAAGCACTTGCCTGACAAGCGCAAGGGCCTGAGTTCAATCCCTAGTTCCACCAAAAAAAAAAAAAAAAAATTAAGGGGGGCCAGGGAGATGGCTCAGTAGAATAAGCACTTGCCTGACATTTTAAATTCTGAGACAGCAGCCCAGGGTGGGCTCGGTCTGCCATCCTCCCGCACTGGCCTTAGAGCGCTAAGATTGCAGGCGTGTGCTATGCATAGGTCCCGCTATGCACCTTTTAACTCAGGCAGCCTGGCTGATGCCCCCCTTCAGAAATTCACACCCAGGGAGATGGCTCCGTGGAATAAGCCCTTCCCTGGCAAGAGCAAGGGCCTGAGTTCAATCCCCGGTTCCGCAAAAAAAAAAAAAAAAAAAAATCAAACACAGCACTACTTGACCTCTTCACTGAGCACTCAGACCAGAGGGCACTCAAGCACAAGAGCACGTGGCCCGTGCCTCCGGCTGACCCACACATTCCCAGCTCTGCAGAGCGCTGAGCACACCCCTAGCTGGGGACGGCTGCCGCGTGGGCTGCAGGGCTGGAACCAGCCCCGCAGCTCCCTCTCCAAGAACTAACTGGCGGTGGGGCTGCTGATCTCCTCAGAGGGTGTTTTGTTGTTTTTTCTTGAGGTGTTTGTTTTCTTCTTTCAGAGACAAGGTCTTGCTATGGAATCCAGGGTGCCCTTGAACTGTGCAGCTCAGGCTGGCCTCAAACTTGAGATGATCCTTCTGCCTCAGCCTCCCCAGTGCTGGGACTAGAGGCATGTGCCACCACATCCAGCTTTTTAATTTTTTTTTTTTTTTTTTTTAATTTTTGAGAGTTTTGCTAAATTGCCCAGGCTGGCCTTCAACTCCCAACCCTCCCGTCTCGGCCTCCTAAAGTGCTGGGATGGCAGGCCTGTGTCACCACACCTGGCTGTCCACATGCGTTTTACAGATCTCCCCCTTTACTCCAAGGACTCACACGCAGGACCTACCGGCTCACGTCCTGCGCGAACCTGCCCCTTCCCCTGAGCACCTGCTGGTGCAGCTCTTCCAGAGTTATCAGACCTGCTGGCAAGAGGGATGACAGTGGGTAAGATGCACTTCGCAGCTGCAAGCGGCTTCTTGTGTTTTTTAGGGCTGAGGACAAAACCCCGGGCCTTCGTAAGCGGCTTCTTGTGTTTTTTAGGGCTGAGGACAAAACCCCGGGCCTTCGTAATGAGACACATCCTCTATCCCCACTTTTGGTCTTTTTTTTTTTTTTTTTTTTGGCAGAACCGGGGATTGAACTCAGGCCCTTACGCTTATTCTACTGAGCCATCTCCCAGGCCCCTGTCTTTTTGAGACAGGACCTCCCTACGTAGTTCAGGCTGGCCTTCAACTCACTGTGAGACAGCAGCCCAGGGTGGGCTCGGTCTGCCATCCTCCCGCACTGGCCTTAGAGTGCTAAGATTGCAGGCGTGTGCAATAATATCTAAATAAATATCTATTTATTTATCAAAAAATAGATAAATAAGTGCTCACAGCTTTACTGTAGCCAGCAAGAAGCAAAGGAGACCCAGTAGCTAAACCTCGCCTGTTCTCGTATTCACTAACTGGGCAACAACTGAGAACTGAGACCCTGTCAGAGTGTTACTTCACTGGGAGACAACCTTGGCAAACCCCTCCCAAATCCAAGACCTTGTTATCCTTCAAAAGCTGTACACACAGAGGTTCTTTTTTTTTTTGAGATAGGGTCTCACTATGTAGTTAAAGCTGGTTTTAGTCAAAAAAAAAAAAAAGAAAAAAAAGAAAAAGAAAAAAAAGCTGGCTTTAAATTCACTATACAGGGCCAGGGAAATAGCTCAGTAAAATAAGCACTTGCCTGGCAAGCACAAGAGCCTCAGTTCAATCCTTGGTTCTGCCAAAAATAAATAAATAAATAAATAAATTCACTGTACATCCCAGACTGGCCTTGAACTTGAAGCAATCCTGCTTCAGCCTCCCAAGTGCTGGGATTATGGCTATGTATCACCATGCCCGGCTCCTGCCTTTGTTTAAAAACAACAACCATAGAGGGTCTGCTCACTGTGTCACCAAGCTACCCAGCTTGGCTCAAGCCTGCAGTCCTGCCTCAGCCTCCCAGAACACTGTCACCACACCCAGTTTCAAGTCACTCAGGAGTTTGGAGACTTGAGGCAGCTCCACACCTGGGGGAGGCAGAGTGGGGGACGAAGAGGGTGGGGGTGACAACAGACACTGAAAGAAAGGGAAGTAACAGCCCAGTCGAGTGGGAGGGTGAGAGGCCGCACCCGGGCAGGTGCCCACGCTCACCTCCGTTGCGGTGCCGCAGTGCCAGGCACACCTCGATGATCTGCACACCCAGCTCATAGTAGAAGTCGCCCACGCCCAGCATCTCCGACCAGAAGCCTTTTCCAGCTGCAACACAGGAAGCCCAGAGCCAGGTGACTACACCCTTTTCATCACTTTTATTCCTTCAGCACTAGCTGAAAACATCTCTCCCTCGGGAGGTCTTGTCACCTGGCCCCAAGTCTGGGTCTACTGTGCCTTGGGTCCCTCAAATAGGACTCCCGGGAGTCTGTGCTGAAGAACAGGTCCGGAAAATTGCACAGGATGGTCACTGTGCAAGGCCTCCTGGGAGTGAGGGCACAGCCCAGCTGGACGGCACAGCCACTGTGCAAGAGGAGGCCCTGGGTTCCATGCCTAGCATGAAGGGGGGACAGGAAGAGCAAGAAAAAGCCCAGCATGGAAGCCCAGGGCTGCAATCCCAGCACTCTGGAGGCTGAGGAAGGAGGATCACGAGTTGGAGACCAGCCTTACGTAGCGGAAGACCAGCCTGAACTGCAGAGTGAGACCCTGCCTCAAAAAGGCAAAAAAAGAAAAAAAGGAAGAGGAAGAGGAAAGGAAGAGAAGGAAAACAGTCTATTGGGCTTAGCATGCTGAAAGAATGAATTTTCTGGGGCCAGTGAGATAGTTCAGTGGTCTAAAGCACCTGCCAGTGACTATACTCTACTCAGAGAAAAGGCTGGGGCAGGGGCTGGGGGGATAGTTCAGTAGAGTAAGTGCTTGCCTGGCAAGCAGAAGCCCTCAGTTCAATCCCTGGTACTGAAAAAAAAAAAAAAAAAAAAGCACATACATCATATTCAGTGAAAAATGCAGGCGAGAGCTGTACCTACAGCATAATCCCTACTGTGTACAGGGCCTAGAAAGATTCACTTCTGCTCCTCAGATTACATAAACTGAAAATATTATATAAATACATTTAAAGAGCCAGGCATTGCTGGGTATGTTGGCACTGATAATCCCAGCACTGGGAGGCTGAGGCAGGAGAACTACTGTGGGTTTGAGGCCAGCCTGCGCTACACAGTGAGACCCTTTCTTTTTTTCTTTTCTTTTTTTTTCAGAGACCCTTTCTTAATAAATGAAAAAAATAAGATGAAAATGCATCTATACACCTATTCTTCAGAATATCACAGTCTGCTACAGGGAGCGGGTGATCCTGCGGTTGAGCTAACCCTGCCCTGTCACAAGACAAAAATCACATCAAGGGTTAGCCAGATAGCTCAGCTGACTAAGCGCCTGCTTAGGCAGAGTGCAGTGGCCAGAGTTCAATCCCTGGCATGCTGTGCTGTGCTGTGCCCCAGGGGTGTACTGAGATTGAGACTGAAACTAGGTATGGTGGCACGCGCCTATAATCCTAGCGCTTGGGAGGCTGAAAACAGAAGAATCACTATGAGTCTAATCTACATAGTGAGACCCTGCAGACCCTGTCCTAAATACAGAAGTGGGGGGGAAACCAACTCGTACTAAATACATTTTTAAAAAAACATGGGGGGGGCTGGTGAGATGGCTCAGTGGTCTAAAGCACCTACTTAGAACAAGCTAAGCCAAGCAAAGCACAGGGACCGCGGTTCAATCCTCCAGCACCACATGCCAGCCAGCCCCGCCCCCTGGTGGGCTGAGCTGGCCACACACACACACACACACACACACAAATAAATAAATAAATAAAAACATGGGGGTGGGACTGGGGAGATGGCTCAGTGGAATAAGTGCTTCCCTGGCAAGTGCTAGGGCCTGAGTTCAATCCCTGGTTCCGCAAAAAAAAAAAAAAACATGGGGGAACTACCCGCTTGGGCCCCCCCTCCTGTCCCTCTCTCGGGACAGGAGCTTTCTTTCTCTCAATAAATATATATATTCTGCTCATAACCTCCAAAAAATAAAAAGAAAAATAAAAAAATTTAAAAAGAAAAATCACACCATGGAAAAATACTGAAAATTCTAGAACAGGGCCGGGAAGATAGCTTAGCAGCATTAAGTGCCTGGCTGGCAAGCACAAGGTCCCCAGTTCAATTCCTGGTATGGGGCTTGTCATAGTTTTCTGTCTTTGAGATGAGTTCTTGCCCTGTTGCTCGAGGCAGCCTGAAACACACCACCTTCTGTGTTAGCCTCCCAAGGAGGAGCAACAGGAGGCCCGCACTGCTACACCCAGCCGCCCACTGCTTTTACAGCGCCGTAAGGTGGGGCTGGGGCTGTGTCTCCGACGCTGGCAATGCTCAGCTCTGGGATTACAGCACGGGCCGGGGACCCACCTCCCCTCCTATGCACCACGCTTCATCGACTGCCTGCATAAACCACATCCCACTTTCACCAACTTAAGGGGGAAGGCAGGCACAATGGCGCACACCTGCAATCCAGGCTCTGCAAGTCGGAAGCAGAGGATGCTGTCTCAAAATAAAACTTAAAAAGGGCTAGGAACATAGCTCAGCACTAAGAGCCCCGCGTTAACAATCATGCTGGGACTGGCCATCACCCTGGGATGACAGCCTTGGACTCCCCACACCGGCCCCACAGACACTCCACCAGCAGTGACGATGGGGGAGGACACAAGCCCTGCAGACACCTTACAGGCCAGGGGGTCCACCCCGATAGTCGCACACATGTCCTGGAACTGCACGCGGAACTCAGGGTTCTTCCGGATCTCCTGCTTGTGTTTGCTGGCGAACTCTTCCAGGTTGGCCTTGAACATGTCCAGCTGCTTGGACATCTGGGGGCGGACAGAAGGGAGTCAGAGCTGGCCTGAGGGACATTCAGACACCCGGGTGAGAGACACCACGCCTTAGGTGACTATTCTGCCATCTCCTGTCCCTTGCAGTCTGGCTCTGCCTCCTCTCCCCACCAGGCTGTGCCCAGCAGGGAGGAGGTGCTGTTTTGTATCCTCTGTCCTGAAATGGGCCGTTTTTCATGCAGCCTTGTTCTGAAAGGCTGTGAATAATTACATCCATATTTAGTTGGGTTTTTTTTTTTTTTTTTTCCCCGGAAAACTTTTTTTTTTTTGCGGTACGAGGGATTGAACTCAGGACCCTGCACTTGCCAGGCAAGCGCTTATTCTACTGAGCTATCTCCCCGGCCCTTCCCAGAAAAACTTAAAAAAAACCCTTCCCAGAAAAACTTAAAAAAAAAAAAAAAAAGAACTGGAAGCCAGGCTTGGTGGCACATGCCTGTAATCCTAGCACTCAGGAGGCTGAGGCAGGGTGATCTCTGGGAGTTTGACCTTGCCTGGAGGCTACTGCAATCTTACATAAAAAGTTGGAGATTATTTAAAGGCAAAGCTCCTGCTAAATTGCTCAGGCTGGATCAATCCTGCATTCTTCCCTCCTCACCTCGCGGTGTCCAGAGCACACCTGAGATTACAGGTGTGCACCACTCTGCCCAGCTCAAAAACTACTTGTAGCCAGGTACAGTGCTGCCTACTTATAAATCCAGTGCTCTGGGAGACTGAGGCAGGAAGATCACCCACACCCAGGCAGAGCCTGGGCAACCAAATTAACAAGATCCGCCACAATATAAAAAGGATATGGCTCAGTGCCAAGGCCCTAGATTCAATCCCCAGCACCACTGGAAAACAAAAATCAATCAATTAATCAATCCTCTTAGGGCTGGGGATGTTAAGGAAGTAGTTCAGTGGCAGAACACTTGGCCACCAAGCACCAGGCCATCCATCCACGCCAAGCATGAAAAGAACAACTTTCTTGCCTCAGTAGCTTAATTTTTCATTTATTTATTTATTATTATCATAACAGGGATTGAACTCAGGACCTTGTGCTTGCCAGGCAGGCACTTATGCTGCTGAGCTATATCCCTAGCCCTTTGCCTCAGTAGCTTTAAATAGGCCCATGGTTTACTATGGCACGAGCCTTCTCAACACAACGCTATTCTCAAATACATAGTAGTGTTTTGGAGAATCTATTTATTGGAGTACAGGAAATTAAACTCAGGGCCTTCGCATTGAGCTACATAGGATTCACCCCGCTCCACACAGCTAGGCCTCATGGTGATCCTCCTGTTTTCAGCCTCCCCAGCTCTGGGATTACAGGCATGTGCCACTACGCCTGAACTCTGTGGCCCACTCAGCCTGCCCTAGGGGCAGGCCTGGCTTGGCATGTGGTGCCAGGGATTGAACCAGTTCCTGTTGCTGCCTAAGTTTGCCTAAGCAGGCACTTTAATCCTCTGAGCTACCTTGCCAGCCCTCGCTGCCCCTTTCTGAAGACAGGTTCTCGCTACGTTGCCCCAGCTGGGCCTTGTGGTACATCTCTGTAATCCCAGTACTCAGGAGGCTGAGGCAGGTGGATTTTCATGAGATTGTAGGTAGCCTAGGCTACATAGTGGGCTCAAAGCCAGTCTGAACTACACAGCAATACCATCTCAAACACCACCCCGAATTAAAAAAAATAAACTTGCAATCTTGCTTTCTCAGCCTCTCAGTGCTAGTACTACAAGTGTGTGTCACCCCACCTGGCTCATCTCTAATTTAAGATGGCATAGGACTGAAAAAGTGAGCATACATAAAGGAACTAGACAAGGGCTGGGGATGCAGCCCTGTGTTAGAGCTTTGGCATGTGTGAGGCCCGGAGTTCAATCTCCAGCCCTATATAAGAAAAACAAAAACCAGAAGGCAAATAGGGAGAAAAAGACAGATGTCCTTCAGGATCTTATGAGCATGTAATCATTCAAAGACGCCAGCTAGTAACAGTGTCGCTTACAAGGCCGCAGCAGCCCAGAAATCGAGATTTGGCAGACCCGCATGTTTCCACTTTAATCTACAGAATCTCGTTTGCACCGAAGGCGTCCCGACAGCCCTGTCTCCCTCCCTGCCATCACTCACCTGGGTCAGCTGATCCTCGGCCAGGACTGTCCCCCGCTCCTTATACTTGGCCTGTGGACAGAGACTAGCGTGAGTGACAGTGGGCGCTGGGGGTCCCCGCTTGTGTGACCACGTCCGAAGTGAGGAAGGGAACGTGGCTCTTAAGTCTCCCTTCTCTGTCTGTGTAAGCAAAGACACGGTGAGGGAGACGACTTCTCTGCTGTCAAGTCTGGGAAGAGGGATTTGGGGACGCAGGATGTAAGGACACCGACACTCCGATCGCCGGGAGCTGGGGCCCCTCAATGCCCGCGTCCCGCAGCCCGAGCCAGGTTGTGCTGGGAGGCGACTTAAACTGCACAATTCCGCCGCAGAGCTTCAGTCACGCGGCCAGGGCCCGGGGGCCGACGGCTGCCCTCACCTCGGCAAGCTTCTTCTTGGCGATGGCGCCGGCGCCCACCCCGCGACGGTGCATCTCGTCCTGGGCCCCGCGGGCAGCCGGGGCGCCCGCCCCAAACTCAAAGAATCCTCACTCCGCCGCGGGTTCCCAACCCGGAAGTCCGGGTGATGCGTCATCAGCGCGCGCCGGAAGGCACGCGTCACGCTTCCGGCCCGGGGAGGGGCTCCTTGGCACGCGCCGGGCCTGGCGCGAGGGTCCGAGATCTGAGGAGCCCGGTGGCGCTGAAGGGGGGGCGGCAGCGCGCGACCCAGCCTTCGTTCTGTGGCACAGAGTCGCGGACCCTCCTCGCTGTCGTGCTGCAACGCTCATCCCGCCCACGTCGGTGCTTCCGGCCGGGTGGGGGACAGATGCTCCCCGACCGCCTAGGGCATGGCCATCGAAGTTGTATGGGGAGCAAAAGCCGT